GTGTGTGTGTGTGTGTGTGTGTGTGTGTGTGTGTGTGTGAGCGTGTGATCGTGTACGTTGAGTGAGTGTGTGAGTCGTGTGTCTTTGTGTGTACGTGTGTGGGAATGTTATTAAGAGGTACAGGTAACCGAGTGTCTGTGGGGCGGGGGAAGGGGGGGGGGGTGGCAGAGGGGCGGTGGGGACAGGTGTGGATCCCGCCAGGTGCTCCTCTCGCGCCGCGCGGATTCTGGTCGGATAAGCGGTCGGATAAGTTTATGTGCAGTTGACAGGGGTCTTGGAGGAATTATTGGGTAGTTTTCTGTTCGATGAATGGGGCTTGGGTTGACGGCTGGATATCGGGTGTTGCTTAGAAAGTGGCTGTCGCTTGTCCTTCTCTCCCCCCCCCTGCTCTCACCTTTTCTTTCTCTTCTTCTTCTCCTTTCCACCGTGACCGCCGTCTCTTTGTCTTCCACTTTAAACTCTGCCTCCTCCCCTTCTTCCTTTTCTTCCTCCCATCCACCTCTTCCTGCTGCTCTTCTTCTTCTTCTTCTTCTTCTTCTTCTTCTTTTTCTTTTCTTCTCTTCTTTCTCTTCTCTTCTTCTTCTCTTCTCTTCTTCTCTCCCTCTCTCTCTCCTCTCTTCCTCTCCTCTCTCTCCTCTCCTCTCCTCTCCCTCTCCTCCTCTCCTCTCTTCCTCTCTCTCCTCTTCCTCTCCTTCTCCTCCTTCCCCTCCCTCCCCTTCCTCTCTCTCCTCCTCATCTCCCCTCTCCTCTCATCCTCCCCCCTCTCCTCTCCTCCCCCCTCCTTCCTCCCCCCCCCCTCCTCCTCCTCTCGAGCGAGCGCCGTCTGTCTCACGAAGCCGCAGGAGCCAAAGGTTATCCGAGTGAGCGTCTGACCCCTGAGCCGAGGCGGGGAAGGGCGAGGGGGCAGGAAGGGAGAGAGGGAGGAGAGAGGGAGAGAGAGAGGAAGGAGGGAGGGCGGGAGGTGGAAGGTAGGGAGGGAGGGAGGGAGGTGAGGAAGGGGGGTCGTCGACTCTTTACTCCAGTTTTGTTTCCCTTCACGGACCTTCCCCCGCCGGTTCCCTCGGGGTCCCCCTGGGGCGCGCTCTCTCCGTCGGGCGTCGCATTGTTCGGCCGCCTCCGTGGGCGCTCTCCCCGGTGACGCCGCGCCGGAAGATTCGTCGGCCGAAGGAAAGGCGTCACCGTAAGCGAGATCCGATGGCGACGTCGGGACCCGTCTGTCGGGGGGACTCCTGCCTCGCCGCGTCCCCTGGCTCGGGCGGGTTCCTCCCTTGCTCCGTGGGCGAGGGGCGGGCTCGTTGCTCTGGCGTTGTGGCGTTCGAGGGTTGGGCTTGCGAAGGCGCGGGCGTGCGGAGGAGGACGTCTCTGAGGTCGACGATGAACGCTGAAGTGAAGAGGAAAGATGTCGAGGCCGGTCGACGAGCGCGTCCGTGAAATATTAAAATTGCTGGAATCGCCCGGTAATTAATCGCTGCTTTGGGAAACTGAAGGCCGCCGGAAGTTGACCTTGCAGCTGCAGGACAAGCACTGGCACGACCTGTCTGTCCGGACGCGCTCGGGGAGCTCTTGAGTGTCTGTTGCACGCAGCTGGGACCGGGCGGCCGCTTCCTCGAATGCCCAGAAATGACTTGCCTGTTGCGAGGTAAGCGTCACCCTGTGGTCACCGAACACGACCTGAGATCACGTGATGCGCTGGCCGCCCGTGTGACCTCGGGGTGTTAGTGTTATGATTATTACAGGTGTGCTTTGGGCCGGAAGAGCTGGCGAAGTGTCACCGGGAAGGTTATGTGCGGCGGCGCCAGTGGTCGGCCCTCTGCTTCCGGGGGCGGGGGGCGGGGGGGGGGGGAGCGGGGCACGGCTGCGGGGGACCTGCCGCTCGGGTCTTCCTTAGTTGGTTATTCTGATGGTTGTTTAATCATTTAATTGCGTGTGTGTGTTTGAGAATGTACGTGTCTTTGTGTGTGTGAAAAAGAATGTACGTGTATTTGTGTGTGTGTATGTGAATGTACGTGTCTTTGTGTGTGTGTGTGTGTGTGTGTGAATGTACGTGTCTTTGTGGTGTGTACACAATATATGCATGTTTATTGTATACAGGAGTCGTCCTTCTTTGATTTCCATACCCACTAGTTCCCCCTCGTGGACTGGAGACAGAATACAGTGTTCACTTGGCCATTCACCATATCCAACACGCTGCCCTGGGATGCCACGGGGAGTAAAACAAAAAGATAATTCCTTCCTTTAACATTCCACTTGTAGGCCGCGCGGTTAATGTATTTTTTTCTCGTTAGGCCTTAGAGAACACACAAAAGGCTGGTAATGTATTGGAGGGTTTTTAAGCGACGTAGAGATAACGCCAAGGAGAGATGCTGGGCGATAAGAGAGCGGAAGAGAGAGAGAAAAATGTCCGTTATGAGAGTTATTTTGGGGGCCTTTTGAGAACAGTCGGGTTCATGAGTTGCGTTTCCTCGTTAGGGGGAGCAGGATCATGAACGTTCAGTTGGGCGGAATGTAGTGCGAAACGTTCAGGCGATTTAAGTGTATTTTCTAATTTGCATTTTGCCAGCGGGGTGGGGGTGGGGGGGGGGAAGAGAGGGGAGGGATGCCAACCCCCATCCCGCGGGTGCTTCGCTCGTCACATCCCGGCGCCCGCAGCCATGACATAGATTCGGGAGTCATCGGCAGCCCCGCTTGCGTTCTGCGACGGCGGCGGAGCGACCACGGAGAGGGACGTCGGCGCTGGCGTGAGGGTCCGCAGTTCCGCCGATCGCGCCTGGACGTCGGCGGTCCTCAGGGTCAGGGAAGGCCGCGTCATCAGAACCTGTCTCTGAAGGCCGGTCGGCGCTTCGTCCAGGCTTATCGGGGAGGCTGTGCTCCCGCGGTCGGCTGCGGGGGCCGCGCCTCCCTTTTTATGCGCGGAATAACACAACCTTTGTCGGGGCTTCTGGCGTTCCGGGTTCGGGGGAATCCGGACATTTGGACATGCGGGCCTTGCTGGGCTGTCTTCCGTCGGGGTCATGCCGGGCCTTCGCTGGGCTGTCTTCCGTCGGGTCGTCTCGGTGGCGCTGCGAGCCGGCGCGGTGCAATGGCTCGAAATTGCACGTGATAGATAGAGATGAGGCGGTTATGCGGGATGATGGGAGTTCAAGAACGCCATCTGTCGGAAATGGCCGTCGGTTGCCGGGAAAGACGGGAATCGGAGCGCAAACAAAGCCTTCGTTTTTTTTCTTTATTTATTTATTTTTTAGCTATGGTTTCTGGCAAGCCACTCTTTCTTCCGTCATCCGTGAGCTTCCAGATGTTGTTTTTCCTGTAATGCATTTTTCCCGCTTTCCTCTCGCGCGCAGCCCGAACCGCGGCTGTTTGCGAAGGGTACACGTTCCCGCCTCGGTATGCCGGCCGCGCGTACCCTGGCCGCTGACGTAAACATGTTGCTATGTCCGCGGCATTACGTAAGGACTTACCACGACAGAATTAAATGCTGAGAAACTTTCGCGAGGACTTCCTTGGGGCGATTTGTGCAAGATCGACCTCCAAGCGGCAGGTAAATACTCCCCCCCCCCCCCTCCCCCCGCCGGAGGGTCAAAGTCATTCCACGGCAGTTTGCGCAGCCATTGCCTCGCGAGGGATGTCGGGGGCGAGGGCGACCCTAGCAGCCCCCGCGGTAAGGGTCGTTTCGGCGCCGCCCGCATTCCGGGGACCATGACCGAGATTCGCCTCCGATGAATCACTGGAGCGGTTCGCAAGCGCTTGTTTGCCTCCGTCTGCCTCCGCTGCCTCGGCCTCTTCCGCGTGCGGGCGCGGGGGAGCGGACCCGGGGAGGAAGCGCAGCGCGGCAGGGGCGGGGAGAGTTTTTTTTTTTCTCTTTTTTACGAGTCGGACCCTCGCTGGAGATAAGAGCTCGAGGCGTGATTAATTCATGGGTTCATTCCACCCTCAAGTTCCTGCGCGTCCTTCCAGCGCACCAGGAAGTCCTTGGCCAGAGGGCTCCCCGGGCCGCCCCAGCCGCCGCCCGCCCGTGCTTGGTCCCCCCGGGAGACGGAGGGAGGGAGGCGTCGGGGCGGACTTCTCGCCGAGGAAGCTGTCATTATCGACGGACTCGGAAGCACAGAACAGAAGTGCCAATCATTTCTTCGCCTTGCCCTTCGTGGTTATCAGTCGGTCCCGAGGCGATGGGGATCAGTAATGGGTGGTTTTCAGATCGATGGAGACGTGTGAACTTCGCCTTACGCGCTTTGTATCATCTGTAAGTAGCGCTTTATGAGGACGCTTTGTGGGCGGAAGATGCAAAAGCTCCTATTGCTATGTTTTGCGGCTTAAAGGTTTACGACTGCTTGTATCGAGTGGGAAGAGCTCAGGCGCCCTCGCGATGGGCGGGGCGGGCGGGGTGGCCGGCGGTCGACGCGGCACGAAGTTTAGTGTTTAGTAACAAACACGTTTTCCTGATGGGCGCGTCTTGCCTGGGGGGCTTCTGGCTGCCTGCTCGCTCGGGAGGAAGCAGGAGGAGCCCTTGCGTGGCTTCCTGCGCCTTGCACGGGGCGGGCGGCGGTTGGAGGCGAGGGAAGGGAGGGAGGAAGGAAGGAAGGAGGGAGGGAGGGAAGGGAGGGAAGGGAAGGAAGGAGGGAGGAGAAAGGAAGGAAGGGAGGAGGGAGGGAAAGGAAGGAAGAGAAGACGAGAGGGAGAGAGGAAGAAGTTGATGATGATGTGCTCTTTTCGCACTTTATCGCCTTCTTTCAATTTCCTCCAGTATGGAAAGAATCCGGCCTCGATGCAGGCGAAACCTTGGAAGAAATGTCAGATCTTGCGCGCTGTGGAGGCGACCGGGGGCTTCGAACGCGCCCCCCGTGGCAGAGCGCAGCGAAGGGGACTAATGAGCGGGTTTCGGGCGGGCGGCGGGCGTGACGCGACGCCCACGCGGGAGGAGTAACGGAAGGCGCGGGCGGGACGGAGGGCGGCGCTCGCTCTCCGGCCCAGGGCGTTCGGGATTTGGCGCCGCTGATGTCAAGATGTTTGATCTCAAGGGTTTAATTCTTTGGTCAATGGTAGGATGCGATCTGGCGATAAATTTGGATTCTTTTAGCCATCTTTAGCGTGGGTGGCGATGGGCGTTGCTTTAAAAGGAGGAAAAAGGGCTGCTGTTTGGGATCCCGTGACGCGACGCAACCCCCGCCAGCGCGTTACGGCTGCAGACGTGGCGGTGATAATGCCCGTGTTGAGTATGACGGAATCTGCGTTTTTTTTTACGAAGTATAACGTCACGTTGGCGTAAGAAATCGTTTCCACATTCGATTTCGGTGTAAAAATGCGTGTGGTTTGGGCGCGGGTTTTAGATCTTTGGAATGGAAGCATTTATATGTAAAATGCTTGTCGAATCTTCAATACAAAAATATGATTTGAGTCACACTGTATATTAATGTTTTTTTTTTCTCCGTTGCAGTGCCACTCACAACAAGAGGATGAAGGAGCAGGTGGCCTTGGAACTCCAGTTTGTCAACAGCAACCTGCAGCTCCTCAAGGAACAGCTCGCGGAATTGAACAGCTCCGTGGAGGTCTACCAGGGCACGCAGTAAGTGTGCTGCGCCGTCAGCTGTTTGTGAATCAGTTGCTTTGGCTCTGATTAAGTTTTTTTTATGAACTAATTACGCTGATATTAAATTTTTTTGTATGAATTAATTTGCGTTGATGTTTTTTATTTTTTAGACATTAATTACGTTGGCATTGGTTATTTTCTCTAATTAATTAATTATATTGGCATTCAATAAGGGGGGTTGTATTTTAATTACATTCGCAACAAAGTTGAGAATCGAATCTTATCAGCTGGGATTTCGGGGAATAATTTAGTCTAGTTAAGATTTGGGATTATATGTTTTTTTTTATTAATTTGTTTGTTTATTCTTTCCGTTGTTAAGATTTGGGATTATGTTTTTTTAAATTCATTTGTTTGTTTGTTCTTTCCAGTTGTTAAGATTTGGGATTGTATGTGTTTGTTTATTCATTCATTTGTTTATTTTTTCCAGGTCGAAAGGTAACATCCCCATGATTCCTTTGGGGCTGAAGGAGACGAAGGAGATCGACTTCAGAGAGCCGTTCAAGGTGGGTTCGGGGAGTGTCAGGTCGTTTCGGTGATGTTATATTTCGGTGATGAAAATATCTGTTGTTAATGTGCTATATATTTATATTTGTTTGTTAGTATGATGTGTGGTGTTAGTACCTGTTTCTTTGTGTGTTCATATTTGCTGACTCTCTCCCCCATGCATTCTCTCCATCTATCTCTCTCTCTCTCTCTCTCTCTCTTCTCTCTCTTCTCTCTCTCCTCTCTCTCTCTCTCTCTCTCTCTCTCTCTCTCTCTCTCTCTCTCTCTCTCTCTCTCTCTCTCTCTCTCTCTCTCTCTCTCTCTCTCTCCTCTCTCTCTCCTCTCTCCCTCTCTCCCTCTCTCCCTCTCTCCCTCTCTCCCTCCCTCCCTCCCTCCCTCCCTCCTCCTCTCTTTCCTCTCCTCTCCTCACCTTTCCCCTCCCCTGCCTCCCCCCTCACACACTCACATTTGAATAGGGTGTCATAATCTTTATTACATTTTACCAATTGCGTTTTATCTTCCCACAGGATTTCATACTAGAGCACTACAGCGAGGAGCCAGACAAGTACGATGAGCCAATCACAGAGTTCATGGACCTTAGAGGGGTAAGTGTGAGGAATACGAAAAATAAAACGTGTTTGTGTGTGTTTCTTCATTCTTGTGAGTGTGTCTGTATGGCCGTATTAGGCGCCTTGTTTACCGGTATCTTGGAAGCGAGAGGGTTTGTAGAATATTACTTATATATAAGTGTCAGGCAAGTTCGTGTTTTTTTTATAGATAAGGAAAGGGAAATGTAAAAGTTGATTAGCTGAATTTCAGAAATAGTTGCTTAGCAGTGATCACATTTCCTTGCGTTCCAGGCCATGCGAACCCCGGAGCGAGACGATTCGGGAGTGGGCCTTCTCTTCGAATACTTCAATCAGCTCTATTTCATCGACAGAAGATTCTTTCCCCCGGACCGCTCGCTTGGCATTTACTTCGAGTGGTAAGTTGGTCGCAGTAAGTCTTGCGTAACATGTGAATAGCGATCCATTTGAAGTAGGGTGTGTTTTGGTTGATAAAGATGATTTTTAGGGAATATTTGTAAAACCTCGGTCTTGTTTTGCAGGTATGACTCGCTGACAGGCACCCCGAGCTGCCAGAGAACGGTGGCCTTCGAGAAAGCGTGCGTCCTCTTCAACCTCGGCGCCCTGTACACGCAGCTGGGAGCTCGCCACGACAGGACCTCGGCGGCAGGACTCGACGCGGCCGTCAACAACTTCCTCCGGGCGGCGGGGATGTTCCGCTACCTGCATGACACCTTCACCAACGCCCCCTCCAAGGACCTGAGCCCGGAGATCCTCGACATGCTCATTCATCTCATGCTGGTACGTTCTAATGTGTTTCGTGCTTGTCTTTAGGTCCAGTGTGTGGGAGGATCGTCGGACATTCGATCGTGAATGCTTGCGAGTAATGCCGTGTTTCATGTGCTTTCTCCCTCGCCAGGCTCAAGCACGAGAGTGTCTCCACGAGAAAGCCCTGCTTGGCCACAGCGAGGATTTCGAAACCGTGGTGGAACTGTCACAAGAGGCAGCCAACGTTGCTCAAGAGTATGCGCAGGTATGCAGTTTTGGAATTTTCATACCGGTTGTATATCGTGGGAGATGGATGTGTTCATTATAAAAAATCAGTGTCATATGAGTTATTGTACCATAGAACTAGTACTCCATGAAGCACTTTTGATGAAAAAGACAGATTTCATTAACGAAAGTGCATTGGTTGATTATATGGTAGTTTTCTGTAACTTCAACCTTGTAAGCTCTATGCATGTCAGAGAAATCTCTTAACGCCTCCGTGTTTCCCTTGCAGGTGCTGAAAACCATATCAGACCCAGCAGTGAAAGGCTACGTTCCAGCTTCGTGGATAAGCTTAGTTCACATCAAGGCTGACTACTACCGCGCTTGTTCCCACTACCACATAGCCGAAGCGCTGCTCACCCTCCCGTGCAGCATCAAAGAGGAGGAACACATAGGGATGAGAGTCCGCGAGGCTTTGCAGTATTTCCATCTTCAGCCATCGAATAACACCACAACCATTGATATTACTGTCCCAAGCTGCCGGAGAGAACGCACCATCCTCGGTATGTATCGTTCCCCCTTCATGGTTCATCATCCGTTTAAGAAATATATAATAATGACTTGAAATTTTACCAATACCAGTCACTTACCATTTTAATTATCCCCTTATTTTTAACAAGGAAAGTCAGTTTGTAAATTATATTGACTGACTCCCTGTTGATACGCTTGCTAGCAAATATATTATTAATTTTCCACATTCGTATGTTCCCAAGGTCTGGCTCATTGTCGTGAGGCAGTTTTAGTTCACGAGGAGGCAATGCGGCAACACAGGATGTGTCGAGACCTCAAAAAGAAGTCGGTCCTCGCAGAAGTCTTGCAGATTGGCCATGAAACAGCTGTCCACCTCCTTGACCTCTATGTGGAGGAGGAAGATCTTCTGAACATACTTGATCCGCCACCAATATCACGTGAGTTATTTAGTACATGCCTACATGAATGAACATGCACATATGTATGTACATATATATTCACAAACAAATGCAGTAAACATTTGTTTATACGTTTAAAGTGTTGAGAAAACTAATATTAAATCTCTCTTTCCAACAGCGGCAACCAAAGTACAGCTTTCCCTGACTACCCCAGACTTTTCCCAACACCGGGTAGAAGACCTGTTCAAACTCCTGGGACCCGTTGCTGTATTCTCAGCCAAGCACCAGTGGTCAGCACCTCGACCTATTAAGCTGACAAGAACTCCCACTCAAGGTTTTGGGTTCTCAGTGAGAGGCGATGCTCCTGTCGTTATAGCTGGCGTTGACAGGAATAGTTTGGCAGAGGTAAACACGCCATACTTGCAGTGCATTGTGAATGATAGAACCTAGAGGAACACAACAGACAGTCATATTGAGAATGATTGACTCAAGAGAAACAAAATGGATAAAGTCTTGGATTACATTCGTCTCTCTTCCTCTATAGTATATTCAATTCTTTTCTTAACAAAATATCATCTTTCAGAGAGCTGGAATCAATGAAGGAGACCTTGTGGTGTGCATTGGAACCCGTGATGTGAAATGGATGCCACATGATGAGGTTGTTGGGCTTATTCGTGAAGCTGGAAACACACTCAACCTCACTCTCGTCACTCCATGTGATAAGACCTATTACAAATTACCTAAAGTAAGTATATTGAATGTGATGAATAAAGGAGTTTCAGCAACACATGCTTCTATTTTTTTTTTTTATCCCTTTAGTTATATATAGTTACTGTATATAGTTGCTAATGGTGATAAGATTTATTAATTTAAATTCTATCATCTAAATCCCTTTAATCCATTACTTATTTTAATGATACGGTTATCCATGATTATAAATATTGTCTGTTTCCAGAAACACTGTTAATACTATCTTTATCATTGCAGAGCAAGAGTCTCAAGGACATCTCTCCACATTCTACCACGAGTAGCAGCAGTGGAGTCAGTAGTACAGGCAGCAGCAGTGGCAGCAGCAATAGCAGTACCAGCAGCAATAGCAGTCACTATGGTTCTGTCAATAGTTCTACTATTTCAAATTCACGAGATAAAGACAAGCGAAACAGTTGGAATCCTTTCAAGCGTTCATCTTCTCGAGACAAGCTTAAAGCAGACTCCCTTATTGATTGCAATGTTATTTTGCGATAAGTTCTTCAAATTGCCTTTTCATTTTGAAGTATTCAGTCTTTTTAACGGTTTCTTTTCCTCTTCATATAAACTTGTTTTAAGGTATCAGGTACTCAACAAAATCAGTATTATTTCAGAGAAATGGACCGTGGTTACATTTCCTTTATAATTTGGAGTAAAGATTAAATATGCAGTACATCAAAATACAATCAAAGGAAAATCTGAAGCATAATAAATCATGTAACGTACACACTGAAATAAATGATTGAAATTTACTGTACATAGATAAATATTAATTACTGTTCGACTTACCTGATGTCTGAAGTGGCTATAACTATTTTTGAAAATGTCTGAGGAGTAATATCTTCACTATATGTCGTTACAGTAGGTTTCCCAAAATAACTTTATCTGAGCACATTGACAAGTAAAAGTAGCCTGTAAATTGTATGGTGTGTCCAGTCATATATTTTGAATATAATTATGCTTTAGCTGAAGTATATATAATACATTATTTGGACAGTATTCCTAAAGCTAATGTATCTAGCATACATAGTATGAAATACTTTTTTCAAGCATGTTAAGACTTATATTCACAAAGAAATAAGCCTATAGATTTCATTTTAGAAAAACGTTTAAGACTGATGTTCCCTATAGTGGCAAATCTTAGAGAGGCTTTTGTAAAGATTTGAATGGGGGATTACAAGATATGTGGTTTTATCACATGAGTTCATTGTTTCACATTTATGGGTTAAGCAGTTTTCCCAAGGAACATTTACATATGCAAGTACTGTATACCAGTTAGAAATAATTGTCTGCATAAAAGGTGGCATTAGGACACATTGTAAAAGATTGTAGTAGTCAGTGGACATATCTGTGTGTTTGATGCATTTTTTACTAAAGACGTATTTTGTTAGTTTTCCTTAAAGTTTTATCTTATTTATGGAAAAATAAGATGAGAATGAGCTACATTTTCATAATATATAAAATATATATCCTTTTATTAGCCTTTACACCTTGTCTTCCTTTGTAAATACAGTATTTACATTTCTTGCTTATCTTTGTATGTAATTGTGTATATAAGTGTACATTTGCTGTATATGCAAAATACTTTTGTTTTATATGTATAATGTGTTAATTTGAATCCCAGGATTGTTACCTTCTCAGCTAAAAAGATGGTTCATTGTAATATTTACTAAATTATTTCCCATTATTATCCTGAGTTATTATACAGAAACTTTTGAGTGGAAATACCTTGTATGTAATCCAGTATGTACATAATATTAAAGAGCTAATAAATATGTTTTTATACTTTACCCACAAAATGCAAAAAAGTATATTTTTACTCAAATATAAACAAAACAATAAAAACAAGACTTTATTGAAAAAAAAAAGTTTTCATGCATAAAAATATACCTTCTATGACACTAGAAGAAATAAACAGTTCAGTGTTATTAAAAATATGCTCGAACAGCAATCTTCTAGCGACCATATGAAAAACAGCTCAAAAACAAATATAAAAGAAATTAACCTAATATCACTGTTTGCCAAGGCAACACTCAATAGCACCATAGAATCAAAATGCTTCATTATTCATTCATTCTGCTGCACAGAATTGTATCCACAAATAAAAATCAATAATAATCTTACTAATTCAACTGATTCCTAACTGAAAGTACAATATGACAATATCGCACACATTGTCTTTATAATTTTCCATAACTAAAAAATTACAAAAAATGCTAACTCATCATATGCAAATGACTAGTTCAAAATCTTTCCCTGTCTCTCTCTCAGCAGGATGTGGCAAAAACTTAAATTCATGAGTACTGATCCAAAAATACAAAAACAAAATGCAGATTATTTCCTTTCAAATGTCTAAACATGTCAGGTAAAGGAGTAAAATAGATGGATATCTAAAGAAACTGGTTTTCATGCATGTGTCAAATGAAGCCATCACAATAAAATATCTTAATGCTGTTGCTAATCAACCTATAACTACATAAAGGGGGATTAGTACTCTACTGTTCATGAATTTTTGTGTAAAAATAACACATGGTTATCATAAAATATAGTTAGAATATACATCCAGATGTAGAAAAATTTTGGCGAAAATAAGTGTATGTGCATAAACATATTGTTATGCAAAAACATTAATATATATATATACATAAATACATATACATAGAAACAAAAATATATACACAATGAATTTTATAAATAAACCATTGGTTTTATCTGAGTACTCAACTGCATTTCAATCATTTGTTAAATATGGTTTAGCAATTACAAACACAGTTACATGTGCTTAATAATCTAAACTCGTGAATATAAAACTAAAATATTTCCTACATTTAAAAAAAGTGACTGAACACAATAGTTTTTTATATACAGTTATTGGTTTCAATAATTAAAAACATCAATGCAGCAGAAGTGTCTCCTACAATCGCGATCCTTAGACCTGGGAATGTTCTGTTGTGCTGAAAAGACAAACAAAAAAAAATTTTGCTTAATTTAAACATAGCAACAAGAAAACACCATTCACACTTATTTTTATGCTTGAATTTGTTTAACTACAACAGCCTACATGATCTTTTTTGCTCCCTTAACCTCTTTAATGCCTTGATAAAAAAGTCTAACCTGGAGAGAGCTGTTTATGTAAAGAAAAGAAAAAAAAAACAAGAGCTGTTAATGTAAAAATACATAAATAATACTAACAATAATATACCTTAAATTCCTTTTAAGACATAAAAAATAGGACTTTGTTGTTGCACTCATGCCAGCTGATCATGTTAGATGCTATCACTAATACTGAAGCTTTGCAGAACTTTGCTAAGATAGACGGATAGCTAAACAGAGAGAGAGAGAGAGAGAGAGAGAGAGAGAGAGAGAGAGAGAGAGAGAGAGAGAGAGAGAGAGAGAGAGAGAGAGAGAGAGAGAGAGAGAGAGAGAGAGAGAGAGAGTGAGTGAGTGAGGTGAGTGAGTGAGTGAGTGTGAGTGAGTGAGTGAGTGAGTGAGTGAGTGAGTGAGTGAGTGAGGGTGAGTGAGGGTGTGTGTGTGTGTGTGGTGTGTGTGTGTGTGTGTGTGTGTGTGTGTGTGTGTGTGTGTGTGTGTGTTGTTGCGTGCGTGCGTGTGCGTGCGTGCGTGCGTGCGTGCGTGCGTGCGTGGTGCGTGCGTGCGTGCGTGCGTGCGTGCGTGCGTGCATGCATGCGTGTGCGTGTGCGTGTTTGTTACTACCAGACATAAATATTGGATCAATGGCATGCATAAAAAGGTAAAGGTAAGCAAAAAGAAAAAAACAAAACTATACAAATAGTTTCACATAAAACATTGTAAACTATGTATTCACAAAAAAATTTGTTAATGAATTAAACACACAAAAAATATGGATCCTTACCCATGATCAATATAGATCTTGGTTATCCTGTTGTTCCTGAAAAAGTCCAAGTGATTTCCACAGGTCTTTTTCCCTTTTCTTCTTGAAGGTTCCGATTTATTTCTAGAATCATAATTTCTATTATAATTAGAATTCTGCTGCCTTGCCCAGACAGAGTCCAGAGCATCTCGCAGATTCTTCACCCAGGGCGATCCAAAGCGACTGCTCTCTGAATCCACATCGGAAAACTGACCGGAAGAATCGCTCTTGCATCTCCCTCTTCCTACCGAACATCCAGAGTCCCAAGTGTCTCCAAAGTGAGGAGAATCTCTGTCTGTGTCAGACATACTTGAGGGCTCAGTGCTACCCAGTGATTCTTTGTATCTCTTCATGAATGTCAGACTAATTGCCGAGTCTGCAGTATCATACAGAGAGGCACATTCCCCAGAATCCTTAGGACCACATGAACCTTCTTCATCTACTGGCCTGTATATAAATGTAGCATTCAGGGACGAAGTACCAGAACTAGAATTCTCCTGGCTTCCTATTCCTGGGTCACATGGTGTTTGTGACAAAACTGTTGAAGAGCATGAATTCCTCTGTCTAAGATAACCTTTTTGTGTTGAATTCTCCGGAGTAGCACCTTCCTCAAAGCTAACTCCATCTTCCTGGTATTCCAGGCCATACACTGACAGATCTCCTAAGCTTCGAGTAGAGTCAGAGCTGCATGATGAGATGCTCGGAGAACGAATGAAGTATCCTTCTAATGATACTTTACGCACTGGTGTTTCACATGAATCTTTAGACTTGTTAGAACCCCGGAATGTAAGTGCCGGAGGTCTACTTTCTTCTGCACTTGCATGAACTGAAGGACTTGTCAGTGATGGGAATTCTGTTGGATATTCATAAGTTATACTTGTCCTCGATGGAGTAGAGTCTTCACTACCTTCATCCATGTATTCGTATTCTTGATCATGCACTTCATTCAGAACAGCATCTTGGTCATCATCCAACTGACAAATAACAGCACTAAGAGGAACAAACATTTGTCCAGCATCTGAAATAAAAGTGTAAACATCAACTCAAGTACAAAATCAAAAGAGAATATTAATATACATCAATTTGTACACCATACTGTTATTCTCGTGTTCTGTGATTCCTACCTGGTGGCCAAAGTCTGATAGTTACACCCACTGGTCTGACAGGCACACATGGAGGAACATCATCATCGGCAATATCTATGCTAGTTTCCATGCTCTCTTCTGATATAACTTGGCGCTTGCTGTTCTCAGATGGATCTTGAGAAGGCCAGAAGTAACTTTTCATCTGTTTTGTGGGATACTTGTCATGCCCAAGGTACAACACAGTGCCCACATGATCTCCACGCACCAGCACACGACTCCCTGGAGGTAGTAATGCTCCTTCCCTGTAGGTGAATTCAGACATACAATAAATACACATCCTGGTCTTCTAGAAGTATTTGTATTAGAAAATAGTGACTGTAATGAAATATGCAATGTTTTGTGGGTTTAACTAATCCACATAATTCAGAACATACTCAGTTGTGAGAGCATATAAGTGGCAGTCGGGATCACTGGAGAGGTGCATACAGACTAAGCATTCACAGCCAGTAAGTGGGTGAGGAGCACATAATTCCTGAAAAAAAGAAAGCATATAATGTATAAAGAAACTTTGAAATACTAAACAACTGCATATAAAATACACTACAATCACCAAGGTCTGTATATGAGTCCCCATTAAAAATATATTCAAATTGTGTGCATCAGCAGCAAACTTTCACCCAATGTGGCTATTCCTTAACAAGCTTTTAGCCAAGGTGGACCTTCCTCCCGACACAGCATCTACCCCACCACCAGAGTCACTTGAAGGAGACTGAATTTGTGAAAAACGAATAATGTCCTGCACACATCATCTTATTTTATCATTACTAGTAGGTAATGTTGCCTATAAAACTACACTGGTGGAGGTACAGAACAAGCAGGTGCTTTCTCCTTCTTTGTTTGGCAAAAGAGATTCTACCTTTTAATTATCCTCCACAGCATCTACCCCTATCCACTTTATTTTATCATTACTAGTAGGTAGTAATGTTGCCTATAAAACTACATTTACTTTGGCAGGCCTAAAAGAAATGCTATGAGGTTTGAAATTATTTTCATATCACCTCTTAAAACCACTTATGATATTCAGAATACTGTGTAAAATATTTAGTCAATAACCTAGCCTTCAAAAGCATCACTAGAAGCATCAAATATTAAAAACCGTATGTTATTTAGTTTCAAAACTTGAACACTATTTTCTGAACACTATCACTAATAACAAAAAGAGAATAATGAAAAAGATTCCATAAAAGAAAAGGAAAAGGAAAGAAAGAAAGAAAAAGAAAGAAAGAAAGAAGAAAAGAAAAGAAAAAAGAAAAAATCATACCCCAAAATCTTGACTTTGAGAGGCACTTGGATCAGTCACAGGTGTAGTTGCCACAAACGTTTCATTCTGACTTTCTGGATACATGGTCTCTTGTTCCTGGAGTACACTAGTCAACGTCCTTGCTAAAAGCTTCACAGCATCATTCTCTGAAATTGTTAGTTGCTGTAATTAACATAATTTTTTCTGGTTTTCCTTACATGCATACATAAATAACAGAAACTGAAAAAAATCAATCTATTACCAAGTTTAATACCAATGATTAACTGGAAAAATAAAGGTAAGAGACAGAGACTTGTCATATCCTAAGCTAAGGGTCCTTAAGCTGGGTTGTAGCTTATACAAATTCTTTTTGCTCAATAATGAAATAAGAACATGCACTTTCAGGTCTTCCTTTTAAATTCAGGTAATTTTTTTTTATAATCAATTGGGTTCGTGAAGTAAGGGGAGGGCAAAACCAATTACTGGAGGGTGTGTGAAGGTAAAGAGTTTAAGAAAAGCTGTCCAAAACCCACTATATCCTTCCATATAACCATAAATAACTTTTCTACTCTCATGGATATCAATGCATTCATAGAAACATTACATGGGATAAATTCAAACCCTACCAGTATTATTACACTGCTGAATGGGCGGTTCTCTATGGATTTCAGCCACAGTCACAATGCAGGACTTTCCATGGTTCTGTTGATCCAAATTACTACTGCTGCCATTAATGCTGTTGGAACTCCAAGCTGCACCTGCTGCCTGTAATCAAAACAATAGATTTTACTTAAATGGTATATCAAATTCTGGATTCTTGCACACCTACAAAGACATTTACTTTTTGCAAATTAGAATGCTTGCATAGTATGAATAATTTCAAATGTATGAACTAAGAACCATAAAGGTTAAACATATTCAACACTGCACATGGATTTCAACAGTAAAATGATTTTGGTTTCATAATAAATCAAATTCATTACTAAATAATTGTAAAAAGACTCCATATGTGTCTGATAGTGCCATTTTCTCCCCTATAAATGAAGGAAATAGTTTATGTATTCTAATAAACCTATTTCACATAATGATATCCTAGATAATCTGTGTGTTAATCTACTGAAGTTTGATAATCAAAGTGTCTGCAATAGCATGCTCAGGTCATGAACACATCAAACTTATATTTCCTTCAAAGCTCTTAACTGATCCATCAAAACAGCATCCTATTACAGAAATACATAAGAGCTTATCATCACACCCTAAAACCAGTAAATATTCAAATTAACAATTCTGTTATAAGCTTTAAAAACTCAAAAATCTTCATCATTTTCACTTTAAGGCATGGGGAAAATACCAGTCATGTATAGACTAAACATTAATGATATAGTGTTAAATATAGTGATTCACAACCAGGATAATAATCTGAAGGATCAATTTCACAATATAACAGCCAATATCACTCCATGTTTTTCTCTTAACATTTTTTCAGGTCATGTAAACACAACATATCAATGCTATTACTAGCAAATCCTTTAAAATAATTTCTTTCCTACCTTTTTACTTGCTGTACTTCTTCTTCTCACTCTTCTCAAACTTATAGTACTATATTTTCTTCTCACAAAATTTCCAGACGAGAGGTGTCCTCCAATATTGAGACTGCGTGTTGAAGCATAGCTTTGGCCTCTGTGGAAGGCCTCTTTCCTCTCGGAGGTTTCAAAATGATTCTTGCGTATAAAGTTAGAGTTGGTTTCAGGCATACTAACACTTGATGTCCTACTTTCACCTGTTCCTCTTTGGTGAATGCCACCAAGTTTGCTCTCTTCTGTACATCTCGAAGAGTCAACAGAGCAGCTTCCTACAATATTCTGATTATCATTTTTGGCGTATTTCAGAGCACTAGTAATGAAAGCAGGAGGAGCTGAGCCACATCTCTGAGATAATGGCGACTCATGGAGACTCCGTGTGTCTGTGGTTTGACTCTGAGAAGTACTACAGTCTGTGACAGAGATGGTGGCACTGCTTGAATTCTCCAAGGAGGTTACTTGTTCTTCTAGCTCTGCCACACGCTGCTGTAACCTACAAGTTAAAAGTACAAGAAATATAGAGAGAGCCACTAATAAATTGCCTTAAATGAGCCTAACATATATGTTTTCATTAGTATGACAAAATACAAGCACTTCCAAAATATATTATAACAAAATCATTTTGCAACACAAGGCATGAACTATATTTAAGTACCTCTTCCTTTCTCTCATGATGTGTGCCACACTCGCGCAGAGAGCAACAACTCCCTGCCGAGCACCACCCACCACGAGGGAAACAGCAGCCGAAACAGTGTCATCCACTTCTTCCGCTTGAGAGCCATCTGGAAGGAAATAATTTGGCATTCTTGGTTATTTAAGAATACTCAATGAGTGAGTTTTGGCACATGTGTGTCTGTATGAGGAAGGGAAGAAGGGTGGGCAAGAAGAACAAAAAATGAAAGAGAAATGAGTAGCAGCACTAGAAGAGATAGGGTGAGGTAGCACACATTTTGGAGGATGAAGAAGTAAAAAAAAAAAAAAAAAAAGAAGAAACAGAGGAGGATGAAAAAAAGGAGAAGGAGGACGACAAGAAGTAAAATAAGAAGAGGAAGAAAAAGAAGTAAAAGAGAGAGAGGAAGTAAGTCTCAAGGAAGAGAAAATCCTTACAGACATCCATGTCATTCCCAATATGATCACGATCTCCTCCACTCTCCCATCAAGCCTAATAACATTACCCTCCCCCTAGACTCAAACAGTCACCCATTCATTCACCTCCTCGGCAGTAATCACGACCCAGCTGATCAAACAAAGTGAACCTCTTGTAAATTAAATTCCACCTTGATAACTTTTCAAAGAACCTCACTTACGACTACTTTCTGCTCCCTTCAGGTGCCTCACTTGGATTTAGTTATAAACAACGAACACTTCCCTTTTGTTTACATTCGTGCTATTGCATCTTCGTACAGATGAGATTACAGTAAGGTTGAGAGAGAGAGAGAGAGAGAGAGAGAGAGAGAGAGAGAGAGAGAGAGAGAGAGAGAGAGAGAGAGAGAGAGAGAGAGAGAGAGAGAGAGAGAGAGAGAGAGAGAGAGAGAGAGAGAGAGAGAGAGAGAGTAGAGAGAGGAGAGAGAGAGAGAATAGAGAGAGAGAGAGAGAGAGAGAGAGAGAGAGAGAGAGAGAGAGAGGAGAGAGAGAGAGAGAAGAGAAGAGAGAGAGAGAGAATAGAGAGAAGAGAGAGAAAGAGAAAGAGAGAGAAAGAGAGAGTAAGAAAGATACAAAAGACAAAAAAGAAAGGTGACAAAGAAAGAAAGGAAAGAAAGAAAGAAAGAAGAGAAAGAAATGTAAGAGAGAAAGAAAAAGAGGAGAGAAATGACAAGAGAGAAAAAAGAGAAAAGGAGGAGAAAGAGTAGAAAGCAATGAGAAAAAGAGAGAAAGAGACAAGAAAAGAGGAGCAGAGAAAGAGGAAAGAAAGAGGAAGAGGACAAGCGAAATAGAAAGAGAGTAGAAGAGGCCTGACTGATGCTTAAAGAAAAAGAGAGGGGGCAGGGCGATAACTTGTGTGGGGAGGAGGAATGAGTGGATGTGTTGGTATAGGATGGGTGAGGGTGGATAGGGAGGGAGGGCATTAATGAAAAGAGAGAGTAAAAGGAAGATAAGAGGAAAAGAAGAGAGGCGAGACGAGAGAGTTGAGGAGGGAGGAGGAAGGGAGAGAGGGATGCGGAGAATCAGTTTGCGGTGAGGTGGAGTAAGGGAAGAGAGGGAGAGGAGAGGAGCGCGCAGAGGTAATCGGGCTGGTTAATATATACGGTTTGATGAAAAGAGGTAACTGGATCTGAGGAGGTACTGGATCTGTCCGAGCGCGGCATTTGCTGTGGATGGCGGAGAGGGGAGGAAGAGGGAGGATGAGAGAGGGAGAGGGAGAGGAAGTATGAAGTCGGAGACGAGGGGATGGGAGGGTGACGGTGGGAATGAATAGTACGTGAGATGGTATGAGGGGATTACCACGGTGTGGGACCCGATGACGCAGAGAGAGAGAGAACCAGAGACGAGGAGAGCGCACGAGAGATGGGAGAGAGTAGGGAGATCCAGAGGGAGACGAGAGCAAGCGGAGGAGAGGCAGAGAGGAGGAGAGGAGGAGACGGAGAGAGGAGAGAGACGAGAGAGAGAGAGAGAGAGAGAGAGAGAGTGAGACGAGAGAGAGGAGAGAGGGAGGAGAGGAAGAGGGAGAGAGAGGGAGGAGAGGGAGACGAAGAGGGCCGAGAGGAGGGAGAGAGAGAGAGGGACGAGAGAGAGAGAGAGTAGAGAGAGAAAGAGAGCGAGAGAGAATCGAGAGAGAGAGTAGAGAGAGAGAGAGAGAGAGAGAGAACGAAGAGACTAGAGTAGAGAGAGAGAGAAGAGGAGAGTAGGAGCAAGGTGACGTATGAATCTATGAGAGGCGAGAGTAAAGAGCCTGGGAGTTATGCAACAATCACTAAGTCAGAGGGAAGAAGTAAATGTGGATCGGAGGTCGAGCAGAAAGTTTAATAATTATGAGGTGAAAATGAGAATAGCGAGAGAGGGTATGAAGAGAAAGAGAGGGAGAGAATAGTAAGAGGGTCCGAGACAACGATGAGGAGAGACCAAAAGAAAAGAGAAAAAGACAGAAAGAGAGGCCACTCTTCGCATCTCCAACTAACTATCATTATCAATCTCAACCACTCAACTAATTAGTCTGAATATATACACCATATTACCATTTTACTGAATGAACCTGAGACCTCTGAATTAAACTGAATAGAGCCTAGCACGTACACTCTGCATGACACCGGGCTTTAGGTTCGGAGGAAGCTTCCTGATAGGGGAACTTATCAGCTGATAAGACAAGGAATATTTTTTCTCTTCTTTTTTCTTTACTTAAATCAAATAAAAAATGAATAAGCTATCAAACTGAAGTGGTAAACAGAGAGTCACTTGAAGTACCATCAAGATTTTTAAATATTCCTTTCCTAGAAATATTGGGCCAAGCAAACTTATTCTGGATACTGTATTTTACAAGAGTTTAGGATGGGTTTGCATGAAGATTGAGAGACATGAAGGTAACTGCCATACACAACACCACTGTTAAACATAAGAAAAATCTAGAAAAAGTAAGAAAGATTACAATCAGATACTGCAAGTCCGGCGAAGGAGACGTAGCCTTCCAGTTTCGCACTTGGGCAAAAACAACCAGACCTCCAAATAAGTTCTGATATAAAGGAGCTTGGAGATCACCTCAATATATTCAAATACATAATGAATCCTATCCTGCCGAATATATGCAAGGGCTAGATTCGCTGGCAGGGCGTGAAGCATGAGGCTACAGCATTCCTATTCTGAACAATTACAATAAGTGTTTGATACTAACAACGTATGAGAATGAAAACCATATTCAATTGCAAGCAGTTTTCCTTTTCACAGCTATACTGTACATGTTCCACACATAATACATCCTCTTGTATTCTCACCTAATATATAACATTTATAGATATCAAAATCATCCTTTAAACTATCCTTATTCCTTATTCATATCTCTTCATCTAGTTGACTGAATAATGTCTATATCAAACAACTAATATATATATATATATCTTTAAAAAATTCTTTCTCGTTAAGGTGAAGTACTAGAATTCTCCACTGCCTAAGAATACAGAAATATCATTCTCAGCATGACACCAAATATATGCGGGCCTTCCTTTGAGTGCTTTATACATAGGCCTACCCTTGACAAGATAAGTAACAGATAAAACTTCAGTAAAAAGTATATGTAGAAATCATGTTTTCCTTTCTCTTCTTTTTTTTTCTTACAAATCAAATAAAAAATAAATAAGCTAACAAATTGAAGTGGTAAACAGAGAGTCATTTGAAGTACCATTAAGATTTTTAAATATTCCTTTCCTTTTTCTTTTCTGTTAAAGTTCCATTTGCATAAAAAAAAGTTCTAATGATGCCGCCTTCTACCCACAGTAAATGAAATCTCTGCCCTTCTCTTTTGGTGCTTACATATACATCAGCATACATCTACACGTTACCTCAGCTATGTAAATGGAAATAGGCTTGTAAGAGTGAGTGTGTGTGTGTGTGTGTGTGTGTGTGTGTGTGTGTGTGTGTGTGTGTGTGTTGTGTGTGTGTGTTGTGTGTGTGTTGTGTGTGGTGTCGTGTGTGTTTAGTGTGTTTGTGGTGTGCGTGTTGTGTGTGTTTGTGTGTCATGTTCTGTGTGCTGTGTCTAGGGGTGTGTTTGCTGTGTGGTTTCTGTGTGATGTAGGTGTGGAGCTGTGTCATCTCTTGTGTGATGTTGTGTCTGATCTGTGTTGCTGGTTGTAGTCTGGGTGTTGTGTCGCTCGTCTCTGTGTGTGTCGTATATCGGAGTTCCCTCAGTGTGTTGTTTGTCACGTGTGCTGTGTTTACTTGTAGAAGTGGCTGTCATCTGTTAACTATGCATTGTACTTTGAATAATACTATTGTATCGCTCGGGGTGTTGTATTCTTGTCACCGTGTAGACTCTCATTTAGCTAGATTACGGGTACTCGATTCTCCGGTCTCGATAGGTAGTCTCTGAGACGTATGAGGTCGTCGTCGTGG